AAGCTTGTACCTAAGATACAAGTTCCTCAACTTAGCATTGAAGACCTCGTAGTCTGGCTCCAGCCTACCTTTCCAGACATTTCACACTAATTCCCTCACATCCTATGTTTCAGCCAACCTGGCCCATAAACTATTTGAATGAACTCCACATTTCATCTCCTGACTCCCTGTTCATACCTACAATGTAATCGTTTAATCAATAAGCATTATTATGGGTCTGTTGTATGTCATGCACTATTAGCTATTGAGGCTACAAAGACAAAACTACACAGTTCTTACCCTCACGATGCTAGCATTCTATTGGAGAGCAACATGTACATGAACAATTATATGCAAAATATTTGGGATAGTCAAATATTGTATTTGGATAAACTAACTTATAGGGCACCCTGACATTTGACTTGTTCTCAAATTTAATTTTATTAACCTGAGTTCTAGAATGATTCAGGGCTACATTTGTATATTTCCTTTCTAATTAATAAAATTGCAACTGCTTTCTCACTAGCTAATTAATTAGTTGGACCCTTAGCTCTGGGTATCAAATATTATTTACTAGACAGCGAAAACTTTCTCAAAAGTAGTTACTTATATACGATTAACAAATAAAATCAAAAGTAAAATGATAGTAACTATTTATAATATTTTGGCTATGAGAAAGTTCATAGCTAGTCACCTAAAATCCTCAGTATAATAGTAAATGACCTCTCTTCACTGCCAGAAACAGTTTCACCATTTATGTCACTCCAGATACTAATTAAAATGTCATATTCTCAAGATTAAATTTAAATTCAGTTTCTCAGAAAATCAGTTACAATGCTCTTTTTCCACTTTCTACTCTAGTCAATGATAATAGTAATGATGATGATGATAATAATAACAATAACAGCTAACATTTATATAGTACTTACTATGAGCCAAGAGCTCTAAGCCCTTTACAACTATTATTTCATTTGATTGTCTCAACAACCCTGGGAGGTAGGCACTATTATTATCATCCCCATTTTACAGATGAGGAAACCAAGGCACACAGAGACTAAGTGACTTTCCCAGAGTCACACGGTTAGTAAGTATCTGAGGCTAAATTTGAATTCAGGTCTCCCTGACTCCAGGCCCAGGGCTCTATCCATTGTACTACCTAGCAAAAGCACATACCCTTTGACCCGGCTATACTACTGCTAGACCTATACCAAAAAGGACCAAAGAAATATGGAAAGGCCCTCTAAATACAAAAAATATATTTATTGCAGCTCTTTTAGTGGTAGAAAAAAGCTAGAAACTGAAAGCATGCCCATAAATTTAGGAATATCTGGATAAGTTGAATACTATTGTGCTGTAAGATATGAGAAAATAGATGATTTCATAGAGACATGGAACAGCTTATATGAACTGTCACAGAGTAAAGTAAGCAAAACTAGAAGAACAATTTATGCTCTAACATAAATAGCATAAAAGAATCAATTTTGAAGACTTTTTATGAAGTGATGAATAATGAAAGGATCAAAACCAGGCAAACAAGTCCTACAATAACAACAACATTGTCTGGACAAACAACTCTCAAGAGCTGTTAAGAACTTTGGTCAATACAATGACCATCCATGACTCCAAAGGACCGATGATGAAACATCTCATGGCAGAGAGATGGCACATTTAGAGTACAAAATAAGAGACATATGTTTCTATACAGCCAGTGAGGGAATTTGTTTTGTATGGCTATACAATTTGTTACAATGAATTTTTCTTTTCTCTTTTTTCAATAAAAGATGAGAGGGAGAGAAAATAAGACTTTTGTTAATTTTTATAAACAATTTAAAATAGATTGGGGAGGTGTTATAGATGTGGAATGTTCCATGCCCTTTCAAATAAGGCCTTTGTATTATTAGTTTTACTTAATGTACTTAATTTTTTATGTTGTTAGAAGAAACCTCTCCTGGAGTCAGGGTCATCTCTAAATAGAAAAACAAAACTTTTATTTTTATAAACGCACTAGCAGCTAGGAATATGGAAAAAAGTTCTTGTTAACACGGCATTCTAATGGACCCCCTACTCATATGCACCTCTCAGAATCCAAGAGCTGGAGTTCTTAACCTGCAGTCCATGAGCTTGTTTGTTTTTTTTAATTTTTTAATAATTTGATATTAATTAATTTAATAATTTGCTATTAATTTTTTAATAATTTGATAACTGTATTTCGATATAATTGGTTTCCTATGTCATCCAATGATTTTGTGTTATGCATTTCAAAACATTTTTTTCTGCCAAAGGAGTCCAGGACACACACAAAAAAGTCAAGAACCCCATCCCTAGAGGTTAGTTAGTGCTTTATCTTCAAATTATCTTCAATTTATTTACCTATGTGACTATTGTAAAATGTAAATTCTCTTAGATCAGGGACTATTTTTCATTTACATTTTTTTCTCTTTTGAAAATAAATAAAGAAATATATTGGGGGACTGGCTCCTAGATCCAAAGAAATTTCACTGAACCCTAACCTGTTTGCTGCTTAATTTTCGTCTTGTAGACCTTTGTGGCATAAATGTGTTGTTTCTCTTGCATCGAAAGCTCCCAGAGGACAAAGGTTATATATGTCTTTGTTACTTTTCATACGATATGGAGAGATAGGACAACTTAATCAGTAGTATTTGATGTCACTAACCTGTCATTATCATCAGGTTCTTTCACCTGGTGCAAGGGAGGAGTGTTAGGCTAATTGCGGTTGTCTGTCACCTGTGAGAGAAGTAAGCCTCAGTTCTCCGTTTTTTACCACAGTGAAGTTTGTAAGTTTGTGAAGGAGGACAAAAAGGTACCTTAGGGTGAGGGAAGGCCAGGACAGTAATCACTTCTAAATTATCCACCCTAATTACTCCCTCCCCAACTTACAGCTCTGAAGATTATGACGGTACCTAAACCACTAGGAATCCATCTGTTACTTGTGAAGAACTGCAAAGTGACATACCTAAGTCTAAACAGGTACAAACCATTCAGAAATCATGTCTAACTCCATCACTCTTACTTCTAGTACTCACTGAACATTCACATCATGGTTTTTAATAATAATGTCAACTTCTCACCTGCCACCCTTCACCTCTGTGGCCCAGACCACAGCCAGGTTTGGCTTCAGGTTTTTCTTCCGCTGCCACCACCCCCTTCAGAGGACAGTCAGTGGCCTCAGTGCAATGGGCCCCATTCCTAGGTCCTCATTGTAGCAGATCCAGAGAATCACTGCCCTTAGGAGAGAAAGTTCAGGATGCTTAAGTAGTATATTGCCACAAACTCTTCTCCTTTGGCCATTTCAAAAACTTGATTGTGATTCAGATTCTGAAAGGATAGATACAGGATCCAGACCTGAAAGATAATAGGGTCAGATCTATTTGAGCTATTAACTGGTTTTGTTTTGTTGTTTTAACCGCTAAGGTGGTCAGAGACTTCCAAAGGCTTTTCTAAAGTTCCAGCAGAAATCATCCACTTTTGGATCAAATTCCCATTGCTAGATGGGAGTAGAGGAGGGGGTGGGTAGATAGTAAACAAGCAAGTGCATAAAGAGAATTGTTGGCCAACTGAGAGCAGAAGAAAGGGAAATGGAAAAACAGAAGCACTGAATTTTAGAGCTGGAAGGGAACTTAGAAGTGGCTAGACACACTCTCACTTTACAGATGAAGAAACTGAGTCACATACAGGGTAAATGACTTGCCATCCACCCAGTGAGGTCTAGACTGGAATCCAAATCAGGGCTGACTTTGCTACATTAGAATCTCTTGACTTAAAAGTAATTGTCTTTGTTAGGAAAGAACCCTGTTTGGTTGAGTCAAACAATTAGAACTGGGTATAAATAGAACCAGAACACTTCTTTACACACAAAGCGATTGTGTGGGACTTGATCCCTCTCTAAGAAATGTGTAAAAACGGGAGGAGCTCTCTCTGAAGTGAAATTCTGAGGGCCTAGAAGCAGAGGGTAGATCCCAAACTGGGCATCCCAGCACACCTCTGAGAAGTAAAGGTAGGAGTGACCTGTGGTAGAGAAGGGAGAAACCAAGAAGGATCAGCAGCTATACAGGCCTGTGAAAAGGGATGTCCTGGGAAAAGGGCAGACTCTCCCCAAATTCCCTCATTTTCCAAAAGTTTCCAGTAACCTGAATTTCGCGTCAACCACAGAGATGCCAGATAAACATAGCCAGGCAGGGATCCCAACCTCTATGTAAATGTTAGGAGTCTTCCTAATTGGAGAGTGACTGAACTGAACTTTTTATCCAAATATAGAGGTCTTTACCTTTTTCTGTGTCGTGGTACCTTTTAGCAGCAATCTGGTTAATAATAATAATAACTAGCCCTTATGTAGCCCTTTACAAATAAAAATAGCATTTATGTAGCATTGCAAGGCTTGAAAAGCACTTTACAAATATCTCATTTTATCGGCACAACCACTGCAGAAATTGGGTAGTATTTGTTATCCCCATTTTACAGATGTTGAAACTGAGCTAAGCAAACGTTAGGGACTTGGGAGGTCACAGAGGTAACAGGTGTCTGAGACAGGATTTGAACTCAGGGTGACCAGGCTCCCGGTCCCCAAAGCCTCCCCAGGCTAATTAGGAGTTGATTGTGTTCGAAGTGTATGCCTGGGAGCTAGGGGCTTAAAGCATTTGGGGTGAGGTTCAAATGCAACTTGGGATATCCCTCAGGTGAGTCTGGAGTCTGCGACTCCCCAGGAACTCTCCAGAAACTGCTGGGGGGCAGGAGAGGGCGGAACGGAGGAGAGGCCACGTGACTGGACAGTTACACTGCCCCTACCTAACATAGACGCGACGGCTTCCCCAGGAGCCGCCACCGCCCCGCACTATGACGCCAATATACGTCATCGCGCCAGCCTTCCCAGCGGCTGCGCCTGCGCCCTTAGGCCCGCCCTTCCGCCGGCAGCGGCCTCCTCCTGATTGGCTCCTTCTGACCGTTCGCTCTGTGCGCGGCCTCCAGGAGCTACGCACGCTGCGCGGGCACGGAAGGCAGGAAAGAAGACGAAGGAGGCGGTGGCGGAGGGCGGGGCGGAGGGTCTGGCGTTTGCGCCTTTCACCAGATCAGGAGGCCGCGCCGCTGAGCTGACCAGCAGGAGTGAGGTACCTCCGATCCCCCCACCCACCTCCCCGCTTCCCTTCTCTGCCTGCCCTGCCCCACTGGAGCTGTTGGGAACCACTGGGGGCTGCGACTGTTTGCCTGCGTCACCGCCCCCCATCCTCTTTCATGTCTCCTCCTTCGGAAAAGGAGGGACGAGGTCAGGAAACCGGGGAGGGGCCTTAGAGGTCGTCTAGCTCTCCCCCAACTTACTTTATCGAAGGGGAAACTGAGGTTCCGGGTTGGTGGGTAATGACTTCCCCAAAGTTAGGCCGTAGGGCCTAGTAATGGTCACCGATACCTATCCCCATCGTGTTACAGGGGAAGAAACTGAGGCCCGGGGCGGACAAGGGACTCCCCAAGGTCAGGTCGTAGGACCTAGAGGTCACCGAAGCCATCTCTGTCATGTTGCAGAGGGAGAAACTGAGGCCCAAGGTGGGGGGGGGGGGGGGTAAGAAACTCCTGCGGCCTAAGGTCAGACCGCAAGTAAGGGGCAAGACTTGGGGCCTTCTCTTTGTCCCAGAGTAGAAGGAGGAGGGGGCGGGGATCTACCTGGGGTTGGGGTCGGGTGCTGTGCTCTGAGTCATCCCCACAGGCAGCCGCCCCAAGGCTCCCTTCCCTTGGACGCTGTCAGAACGGAAAAGGAAAGGTTAAGTAAACCCCCAGAAGGTCATAGCACTTAGCACGGGGCCTGGCACGCAGTAGGGCGTAATGTATGTTTGCTGACTTCACCCACAGACCTTCGAGATCATCTAACCAGATTCCCCTCATTTTACAGACAGGAACCTCAGGCCAGTAGAGGTAACATGATTTGCCCAAGAACAGATAAAATACTAAATGCAAGTCCTGGACTTGAACCCAGTGCTCATCCTGTTCATTAGACCAGGCTGCCCACTGGCCCCATCACTCCCTTGGCTTCCATGGGAATAGAGGAGGAGGTCTTGGGAGTAAGGGCAGGAATTGCTTCCTACCCACTTTCAAGTGGCTTTGGGCAGCAGTGTAATTCACCAGACTTCCTGGCCTTCACCTGTCTAAGGAGGAATTTACAGTACCTGTTGGTTCCTGACCTTGACGTTCTAGGGATGTGAACACTTCGATGAAATTGAGTGAAAATGTTCTGAGCACTTCTTTCACTGGTGGTATTCCCTCAACTTAGTGGTTTGGTATTCTTGTAATAAGCCAAATGTCATTGGTCCTCTTTTAGAATGAAAGACAAACAATCTCTGTGAATGGAAAAGTTGCTGCCCCACTAGTGACCAAACTGGCCAGTTGGACAACACAGCTTTCTTCTCTTTTCTTTCTTCCCTTCCCTTCCCTCTGGCCACATAGACAAATGCCCTTACCTTCGGGTGCTCTGCCTAAAGGGAATATAAATTTTGATCTCTGAAAAAAAATTTTTTTTTTTTTTAAGGACCAGCCTTAACCCAAACCACTCTGACTCTCATTGATTGGCCAACAATAAGTCCCAGACCCAGCCCTAGCCAGAAACCTCTCCCCCTCCCCCTCATTGATTTTTTTTTTTTCCCACTAGGTAAAGAGGCCATTCTCTGCCTTATTGTTTAGCCTTAATCACTGAAAGGGCTTTGCCTCAGTCAAACTGAGACCAGCTGAAGACCTTAGCTTAAAAAAGCCGAGGTCTCCCACTGCATCCTGGGCCATCTCCATCTCCATCTGGCCACTGGACGCAGATGGCTCCAGAAGATAAGGCCAGTGACTTTGCACAGCTCCCTCACTTGAATCCAATTCACTTGCATGTCATTGCATCACCTTCCTGATGACATGGTCCTCTTCAAGAAGGAAGGACAGACAACAATAATAAGCTTCTCCAGGGCAGGGATTGTCTTTTACTTTGCTTTGTAATGCTTGTTGATTGATCGATTGACTATGGGGGCAGTTGCTACTACTATTACTAGTCCATGAAAGAAACTGATTGCAGAAGTTGAGGCACCTGACAACAGATGCCCAACTGATTACATCATAAGCCCTGGCGTTATCCAAGCCCTATTTTCCCTGGCATCAGGTAACACACTTCTAATTGGGAAGCACCATAGGAATCTGACCCCAGCAAAATTTTGTGGTAATTTTTACGAGAGAAAGAAGTTTAAATCGTTCTGAGTAGTTAAGTAAAAGTTTGTGGGTTAGACATATGAAACATGTTATGGATTATGCCTTATGGTGGTATGTTTGTGAAATGACATCTTGGTTTGTGAGATATCTAAATGAAATTGTTACTGTCTAATACTTTCTAAACCTTGTTCATGGGGGAAGAAAAATCCCTGTGATCTTGAGCAAATTATTTGACTTGAGAATGGATAATGCCCTATGATGTTAGCATTCCCCCTAGAGGACAGTTACCAGTTAATTAAAACTATGCCAGAAAGGCTCGGTCAGTCTCTTAAGCTACAAGCAGGTTTTAAATACAATCACCAATCCATATTTTCATTTGGTCCTAAAACCTCTGATTTAAGGGACCATTTTTTCCGGTGCCCTTCAGGATAATGATATGTGATTTTTATAAAAAGCATTCATTATACTGAGTATGACTGATTCTTGACTCATGTCAAATAGTTTTTGCCTACTGTGGGCTAGATAGGTAAATACTGTGGTTTTACGTAAAAAAAAGTATAAAATCCTTGTTCAAAAAGCACTGAAATCTTATTCTACATTAAGTGCATAATATTTAAGCCTTCAAACTTGTACTCAGTTCTAGTATAATATTAAATACCACAATGAATTCTATAGGTGGTCAGCATTAGGGAAATTGACAGAGCTAGAATGGTAAGGAGATGAGACTTGAAACAACAGCAATTGTTTATCACTGAAATTTAGAAACAGCGGCAACTTTAAGAGTTTCATTTCTCCCTCCCAATGTTTCAATTGAAATTCCTGGAAAGCAAAAAAGTTATTTGATATTTACTTTATTTCCCCTCTCCCAACCTCCCCCCCCACCTCCACCCCTTACATACACACAGGATATTTGTAAAATGCTTAGCATAGTACCACGCGCATAGTAGGCACTTACTGTGTGCCTCTCCTTATTCATGCTTAAAAAAAGACAACTATATAAAGTTGTCTTGAGTCTCATACTAATATATTTAGTATATGAGGCCAACACCATTTGATCTTACAGGGAGGGAAATTGAGGCCCAAGAAGGAGGGTGACAAATACTTGTCGCCTAAGGTCACACAAACTAGTAAGGAGCAGAAAACTTGGAAACTTCCCACTTCCTACTCTGGAATCTTAAATAAAAATTTAGAAATGTAACCTTTCTGAGGTTTTCTACCCTAATGCTTTATTTACCTAATAGATCTCAATTTTTAAAAGCATTTCAGAAATAATCAAGTGAACCTGTTGCAACACCATGCTGGCAGCAAGGTTTGTGTGTCTCCGGACCCTAACCCTACCTTCCAGTACTCTCCACACAACACTTACAAAGACCTCTCCTGTTTTGAGGAATTCCATTCTGAAGACAAATCAATGGCTCTTGCAATCCAACAGGGTAAGTAAAATTTGGATTTATTTAACATTTTGTAGAACCTTCTTTGAAAACATATTATGCACTAAAGAAGGAGATAGCATAAACCCCCCAGTCCTTTTATATCTAGTACAGAAGTACTCCTGAGACAGTCAGAAAGGGTGACTTGCAGCTTAGCTGGAGGCACAAGACTTACTCAGGGCCACAACAGAGACTTACCAGGGAACCCCAGAGGTTCATTGCTATGATATAACGAAATGGCGATTCTATCTAACGTGCAGGCTCTTGCCATATATATATATGTATGTATATATATACACACACACACTTCAAGCCTTGTCCCCACAAATCACCTTTCTTTTTTAGTGGTAACTGATCAAAAGCTTTCTCTTTACCTGTTCCTCTTATCCATTTTATTCACCGTTAGATCCAGTGAGTTCTTTAATTTGCAGTATTCCACCTAGTAACAGTCTTTTTCTTTCAGTTTTATATTTGGAAAAAGTGATAATGCCACTATAGTCCAAAAAAATTTTTTTAACTATGTTTGCAAAAACTTCACTAAAAATAAAATACAACTATAGTTTGTTTTGGGGTCTCATAACTTAGTAATATATGGGACATTGAAGTTATTAGGCATACTAATTATAATTAGCTTTTCTTTGCCTTTTATTCAACAAACATTAAGTATCATATACTGTGTGCAAAGTATGGTGCTAAGCAAGACTTGATCTCTTTCCTTGTGTCAAGCCTACAGTCCAGCTATGTGGATATAGGGGAGAAGGTAGAGTTCTTGGAGGCAGGGCAGAATAAGCATTTCTGTAAGCACCTACCATGTGCTAGGTACTGGGCTAAGTGCTTTACAAATATTTTATTTGTTCCTCACAACCCTCTGAGATAGGTGATGTTATTATCTCTATTTTACAGTTGAGGAAACCAAGGCAAACAGAGGTTAAGTGACTTGTCCAGGATCACACAGGAAGTGTCTGAGGCTGAATTTGAATTCAAGTCTCTCTGACTTCAGTCCCAGCGCTCTATCCATTGTACCACCAAGCTGTATATGGCACTTAGACAAGTGTACAAATATGCATTGATTGACATATAGAGTAAACTACTTTGAGAGGAATTAACAAGAGCAGAATAAAGATCATTTCCAAATGGGAAGATCGGAGGAAGCTTCATGAGTAGCCAATGTTAGAGGCAGAATCTGAAGGTTACATAGGGTTTCCAGTGAAACAATATAAATGAGGGGTGTTCTAGGATAAGAAAGGAGAATGTGGTCTAAGGCACAGTGCTGGTAAAATGTAATGTGGTACATAAAAGATAGCAAGTAGTCCCATTTGCTAAGAAATAACCATGAGATAGGGGAAACAAATGGTGAGAAATAAACCTAGAAAGGCAGAGAGGCATTCCGAGGCTTTAGAAGGCCTAGGCTGAGTTTAGAATTCGATAGCTAGTCTGAAACTATGAAAGATGTTTGAGTAGAGGAGTGACATGACGAAATTAACCTGTATATAAGAAAGGTCATAGAGCTGAAGGTTTTGTCTATGAGTAGCAGGATGAATGCTAGTGCCCTTTGACAGAAACAAAGAAACCAAAGGGAGCAAGTTTGGAGGGAAAGCTAGATTCTCTTGGACTTGGTCGTAAACTTCAGGTGCTATTCAAAGTGTGTCATAAGTAGGCAGTTGGAAATGCAGTTCTGAAGTCCAGGAGAGTTGTAACAGTTGAGTCTGTGGGGGATGAATAAAATGGCTAAAGGAGAGAGTGTATGTAAAGAATAAGAGTAGCACCTTGGGGTGACTAGAACAGGAAGAAGATTGAGGAGGGATAGCTAAGAGAATGGTTTTACCTGGGGTGGGGAAACAGCATTTGAGATTACATGTTTGACATTGTCATTGCAGAGGTCAGGGAGGAAAGGGACTGAAAAAATGCCTTTGAATTTGGTGATAAGGAGGGCACTGATGTTTGAAAAGTTTTAGAAGAATGAAGGCATCAAAAAGATAATGAAGATTCAGAATTTGGGGGTATACAGACAATTTCTGAATCTAGATGACCACATCTACTGTTTTCCCCCACATGCCAGTCCCACATTTCCCTCTAAGATTTCCCAGTGGAAATAATTTAATAAATCCGAACTGAACTTCCTATTTTCCCAGAAAACTTCCTCTTCCTCACCCTTATTTCTCTCTGTTTTACTGCAACCCTACTAATCTTTGAGGCTCTTAATCCAGAATTTCTCTTTCCTCTTCCCGCTTATCCCACAACCCCTCTGTCCCATTAGTTAGCTAGCTCTCATTCTCTATGTATCTGGTGATGCAGTCACATTGTTACCCCTTGCCAACTGAATCAAGTATGGTTCCTTAGCCTGGCAGCATCCTCCATATTGTGACTGTAACCTATGCTTTCATCATTCTCACACTGCTCCCCTTCCCATGAAGCAAAACTGCAGTACTCCCCATTCCTTGTTTTTGTCCTCTTTGCACCTTTCTCTATACCTGTATACTTGTTTCACCCCACACCCCTGCTAGTGCCCAGAATGGAGTGCCTTTTTTTCTCCCTTCTCCCAATATTAACCTCCATGAAGTCTTCTTTTTTCTCTTCTGCCCCTTTTCCCTCAAACTGGAAATAATCTTTTATAGCTCTAGTTCCACAGTAGTGTATGGATCTCTTATTCCTAAATTGTGTTAATGTTTTATCTTCCCCACCAGACCATGAGCTTCTTGGTGGCTTGTGTCTTATTTCATCTTTGTGTCCCCAGCTCTTGAATATAATAAATGCCCCTCTGCACATAGTAGGTACTTGATAAATGTCTGTTGAATTGAATTCCAGATCTTTTATTTCAGGTGTGTTATCATAGTAACTTAAAAGAAAATTCCATCACATACATTTTGTCAATGTAGAAATACACTTCACAAGCTAGTTGTATTATTTGTAACTCACTTTTTTTTCTTTTTTAAAAAATATATCAGGGCTATGCCACCAAATCAAGAATTGGGGTCCGACGTGGAAGAACTGGCCAAGAAATTAAGGAAGCAGCATTCGAGCCATCAGCAGAAAGGGTGTTTAAAAGTAGGTAACAGTCTGAATCTTAAGTTTTTTTCAACTTTGACAATATCATTCATTAGCATTCAAGAAATTAATAATTCTAGAATTCTGTAACTATTGAATTCAGTAGCCAATTTGGAAGGGAAATGTGGTATACTGGATTTTACGGTATGGTTTTAAAGATACTCTCCTAGGAAATAATGTTTGTATGACTATCTTCTCTACACAAATGATCTTAAAAGAAATCAGCTTGAATATAGCTTTTGAACTTAAAACTAAATGTTATTTGCATTGTGGAATGATGGCATTTTGTTATTTACTGACTCTCTTGGTATAGAGTCAGGATTTAATTTGCTGAAAGGCAAAAGTAACTGAAGCTTTATATTAAGGAAATTGAACCTTCCCCCTACCTCCTGTTATAAAAATTGATTATATAAATTAGCATTCACTTCAGGTAAAATTATATTCAAAACCTATTTGTTTTTTAAATAAAAGATTTAAAATGTTGTGATCAGACTGTTACAAAGCAAATTTTAATACTGTTTCTCCTAAGATAAACTTTACATTGAGGTCATACCATTAATACTTGCCAATTCAGATGCTAAGAGTCCTTTCCCCTATCCTCTGCAGTTGATCAGATGGGAAGATGGTTTGTTGCTGGAGGAGCTGCTGTTGGTCTTGGAGCACTCTGCTTCTATGGCTTGGGAATGTCAAATGAGATTGGGGCTATTGAAAAAGCAGTGTAAGTAAATCCCCCAAAGTATTGTTGTCCTTAACTAAGTTTCATTGTTTTCTCACTGCACATATCATCAGCCATTTGAGAAATATTTTGCCACCAGTCAACTCCATAGAAATAAACATATTAATAAAAGTGGAACTGCTTCTTGCAACTTTACTGGACTTAACTAGCTAAAACTAAATCAAAGCATGATAAGAACTCAAAATATTAAAATCCATGAAATTAACCCCCAAAACAGCCTTAGCTATCTGTCATGTGTTTCTTACAGAATCTGGCCACAGTATGTGAAAGATAGAATTCATGCCACCTATATGTATTTCGCGGGGAGTGTTGGTTTGACAGCATTGTCTGCCTTAGCAGTTAGCCGATCACCTGCTTTAATGACCTTTATGATGAAAGGCTCTTGGTTGGTAAGTTCATTTGGAATTTTTTCTTTTAAAGCTCTTAAAGAATACGTTGAAGACAGAATTATCAGTTAGAATGGCATGACAGTTTTTATAGGAAAATCAGTGAAAGGGCAGGTATGTGGATGTATCAAGAACTTGAAAAGACATCAAAATCAATCCTTTCATAAAATTATGTTCAGTATACTCTGTTAAAAAAAATTCAAGGATCAACAATATAAATTATTGGCACTGAGAAGATCAAGCATCATTTATTTTGAGAATTCTCTTATCTAAAAAAATGTTATTATCAAGGCAAGTTGTGCCTGATAACTGAGGAATCACTATAATATAAGTGTCTGTTAATAACATTGTATGAAGAATTGGTTTCTAATAAATTTTTTGCAAAAAATGACCGCATTTCATACAATAAACTACAACAAAATATGTCTTTGACATAACATATTAATGTACTGATCTAATTTAATATAATTTGGGGGTATGGGGTTCGTTGGTGGTTTTCTGGAGTGGAAGCTCTCTCTACCATGTAGATTGGCAACTCATCTGTACTCTAAAGCCTAAAAGAGTTTCCTGAACAGTGATGGGTTAAGTGACTTGCCTGGTGGTCGGACTGCTAACGGGAGCTGAATGTACAGCTTGAAAATCCTCACGTCCCAGACTCTTAACTGTTCTTCCAACTTGTTGCAAAGAATTTCTAAGACTCTTGTTAACAGCAGAGGGAGCCGTTGCTAAACATATTTAAAGAAAGTTCAAAAATTGAAAAGATAACTTCGTATCTGGATTGAGGTTGGGAAGTATAATATTATCTTCCTTTTTTAAACCTTGAAGGTAAATGGTAATATTTAACACTTCTGGGTTTACAGAAGTAAATCAAAGCAAGCATAATTTTTCCTAATAATACTCTGCATCTTATAGACAATTGGAGCAACTTTTGCAGCCATGATTGGAGCTGGAGTGCTGGTTCGGTCAATATCATATGAGCAGAGCCCAGGCCTAAAACATCTTGCTTGGATGTTCCATTCTGGTATGTCTTCCATGGTTTACAAATATGTTCTTAATTATCTTCAAGTATTGTTCTCTATGGTGCTCTCTTAGAGATAAACAACTTGTAAGGAATGTTGTCAACTTAAATTTAGAAGCAGTTTGTGAAAAAATCAATGTTCCTTTACAGATAAATAGAATGTTGATAGAAACAAAATTATCAGTCTTTAAGGTTATATTTTAAAACCGTACAAAAGAGTTAATGAAGACATATCATATTTTTATTCTTTGTGAAAACATAACATTTAAATCTGAAAGCCCTACAGAGTAGGAATAGTGTCTGTCTTGTCTGATGCAAGAATAGTAGCTATTTTGAGTTTAGAGTTAAGTATGTTAAGGTACAGAAATGGATGATTTCAATATGTTTTCCCCCCTTAAAACTGAGTGATTGTTTGTGTTTGAGGTTCTTGAAATTACTATTGGCTTGCCAGTCAATTAAGGCAAGACATCTTTAGCAAGCCTAGTTGTTTTTATTAGTTTTCATGGTAAAGTGATTTTCTTCATGAGTCTATAATACTTGCTGACTCTCTCTTAAGTATAGAGGGACAGAAGTCGATATTGGGTGCTTTACCATGGCATAGAAAGTGACCTCAGGTTATCTTAAGCCAACATTGAACAATAACTTAAGTTCCACAGGCACAGAAGACTTGGAGCATGGGCCCACAGACTCCATCTTCTGTCTGAAGACAAGATTGGCTGAAGTCAGAGGAGCTGAGCTCATCACAAAAAGATTGTCTATTGCAGGGTACTTTCAGGGGGCATGACACCGCAGCATTGTACTGTGCATGTTATTTAAAGGGGTCAATGGGGTATTATGAATCATACCTATTATACAATATAATAATCCTCATGATGTTATATGAATAGCAAGCCTCTGTTGTATAGCTGTTTAGAATGTTTTCATACTTTTTTATACAAAATTACTGAAGAATCTTAAGAATTTCTTAAATTATTTTTGAAAGTGTTTAACATAACCATGCTTTTTCCTTATGCCTAATATTTCTCATTTTAAAAATTCAAATATGCATTTTGCATTCTAGAATAGTATCATAATGCAAAAGCATAATGTAAACCATTCTCACCAATCAATTCACAGACATTAAATTCATACACTACCTAGTATGAGGGACACAAAGACAAAAATGAAACATCTTGTGTTTTCATAAATAAGGAGCTTGCTTTTTTCCACTGAAATCTGCTTGAACTTGTCTATCAACCCCAAAATTCTGCTGTGAATTGCAACTGACAAATCATGAATGGCCTATAAGAGACTTATATTCATTGACAGTTTCCTATTTTTAGTGAGAAGAAATATTTTAAGTTAGTCATTAAACTACACTAAACATTTCTTTTATTTAATAATGGAAATGGTTGTAGGAAATTTTTACAAAATTGGTTACACAGGCAGTTTAGTATAGAGGTATTGTTAGCACCAGAAGACATCACAATTTACTTTTGCTTATTTAAAATATTATCTTCTTTGTCCTTAATCCTTATAAAAAGCTTACTTACGTATGTGTGACAATTTTTTAAAAAAAAAAGAAATGCTTTTTACAAGCTGAAAGTGTAGTCTTCAAATAACTGGAGCATTATTCTTCCCTAAGGGTCTTGTGGTCTAAGTAAGATTATCTTTATCCTTCCATTTATTCTATTTTGTCCTTTCAGCAATTGGCTTATGACATCTGCTATCATGTTTAGCTTTGAGCTACTCATTTAAGCTTGCTTTGTTTCAACATTGGTGTACATTTATATTGTCATAAGAAATTTGTCTTTGGGGATTGCATCTGTTTAAAAAGTTGAAAAGAATTTTATTCATCTAGGTTGATATTCTCTAAGCCTTTTACTTTTTGGTAATATGTGATATATATTCATATAATTTAGGTAGTTCCAAGAATGTTTTTAACAAAAGTGATATTTGGTATGTAGTATAATTTTTTGAGAATTCAATAAGGTTTGTGACTATACAACTACTCGCTTTATTCCTAAGTAAAGAAAAATGTCTTGCTAAATAATTGCATAAAATGTATATTGGTTTATGTCATAAGTATTAACTAATATTTAAATTCCTTTTATTTCCCTAGGTGTCATGGGTACAGTGGTGGCCCCTTTGACTTTGTTGGGTGGCCCTCTGATCCTCAGAGCCCTTTGGTATACAGCAGGCATTGTGGGTGGCCTCTCTACTGTAGCCATGTGTGCTCCAAGTGAAAAATTTCTAAACATGGGAGCACCACTGGGAGTGGGCCTGGGTGTTGTCTTTGTTTCTTCTTTGGGTAAGCATGATTACTTTTGATCTGTTTATTCTGTACCATGATTTATAACAAATAACTTGAATAATTTAATTAGGAGGTTGATTATTTTTAGGAGTTACATAAATGTGCTTATATTAAATGTAATTTTTATTAGCTGGCATGCTATGAAATAGGCTTTTAAATGGACATTATCACAGTTGGTCTAAATAAATATCACTAGACTTCTGTTCTCAAGAGCAGCCCTTTGACTGAATCTAAACTTCACAGAACAAATCCCCTTAATAAAAGGATTTGTTTTATAAAACTTGAACTTAGTCAAAAGGCTGCACCCAAGGACCTAGAAGGCCACATGTGGCCTCAAGGCCAAAGGTTCCCCACCCCTGAAAAGAGGCCTAATAAAACAGATGAGGAATAGAGCTTTGTAGCATAATGGAAAGAGTATTGGACCCCAATCCTGACACTGCTGATCTCACTGAGCCTTAGTTTTCTTGCCTCTAAAAATGAGGGGGTTGGATTAATTGATCTCTAAAGTTGTCTCTTCCTGCTCCAAGTCTTAAGATTCTGTGAATATGAGGATAATTCATGGTTATTACAAAGAATGGGCAGCTGGGTGGCACAGTAGATAGAGTGCCAGGCCTAGAGTCAGGAAGACTCATCTTCCTAAGTTCGGATCTGGCCTGAGACGCTTAACTAGCTTTGTGACTCTGGGCAAATTACTTAACCCTGTTTGCCTCAGTTCCTCATTTATAAAATGAGTTGAAAAAGCAAATGGCAAACCACTCCATTATCTTTGTCAAGAAAATCTGAAATGGGGTCACAAAGAGTGGGACACGATTGAAAAATGACTGATGAAACAACAACAAAATTACAAAGAATAGCTATTCAGTGGGCAAATTTTCCATTTTGATTGTCATTAAATCTAACTTAATGTAACAATCTCTTAATTATGTTGCTTAATGTGCAGGATACTTATTTTCTGGTCTTGGAATAAATAGAAATAAAAAGTACATGAAAGTTGTAAGCCTAACTGCTAAAATTGCTTTTTTCCATTTTGATTTCAGGATCTATGTTTCTGCCACCTACTACTGCACTTGGGGCTAGTCTTTATTCTGTGGCAATATATGGTGGATTAGTTCTTTTTAGCATATTCCTTCTACATGATACACAGAAAGTCATCAAGCGTGCAGAAATAATGCCCATATATGGCACAGAAAGATATGACCCCATTAACTCGTAAGTATTTTCCGGTGTTAGAAAACTGCAGGCTGATTTTTTTTTCCATGTTTTTATTTCTTTTTTTAAACAGTGTTGAATGAAATAATCTTCAGGCTTTTAAACTTGAAAGAAATATTATATAGTTCGATCTGATTGGCTTCATTTTTAATGAGTTTGAATTACTTTGAAAAACTTGTGTTACCCACATTGCTACTGGAATTATACATTTGTATCTATTTTCATTCTTTTTAGAAAACTTTAACAAAAAATGAACGTGGGTTAACATCAGTTTCTATTTAGATAGGCACTTTTTAAAAAAATCGGTTTTTACTTCCGGTTCCAGATTCTCTCCCCCATTCCCTCCCCTACTCATTGAGAGGGCAAGAAAACAAAACCCCATTACAAATATGCAATCATTTGAAACAAATTTTTGCATTTGGCTATGTTAGTGGGAAAAAAAAGTAAAGAGAAAACATGCTTCAGTCTTCACCTTGAGTCCATCAGTACTCTCTCTGGAGGTAGGTAACATTTTTCACCATGAGTCATTTAGAATTGTAGTGGCTCAGGGGCAGCTGACTAGCACAGTGGATAGAGCACCAGCCCTGGAGTCAGGAGGACCTGAGTTCAAATATGGCTACAGACACTTACTAGCTGCAAGTCACTTAACCCTGATTGCCTCCAAAAAAAAGAAAAGAAAAGAAATTATAGGGAATCAGGTTTACTAAGTCTTTCACAGATCTTTACAATAGTGCTTTTCCTATATAAATTGTTCTCCTGCTTCTGCTCTTTTCACTTTGCATCAGTTTATACAAGTCTTCCCAGGTCTTACTAAAGCTATCCTTTGCATCATTTCTTTCAACACAATAGTATTTGGTCGCATTCCTGTTCCATAATTTTTTCAGTCATTCTCCAGTTGATGGCCATCCTCTCAATATCCAATTCTTTGCCACCACAAAAAGCTGCTATAAATATTTTTGTACATTTAGGTGCTTTTCCTTTTTTTTTTTTTTTTTGAAATCTCTGAGATACAGACCTAGTAGTGATGATACTGCTGGGTCAAAGGGTATGCAGTTTTATAGTCCTATGGGTATATTCCAGAATGGTTGAACTAGCTCACTACTCTACCAGCAGTTCATTAGTGTACATATTTTTTTCCATATCTCATCCAACATTTGTCATTTTCCTTTTCTGTTACCCAGTCTGATGGGTGTGGGATAATACCTCAGAGTTGTTTTCCTTTGCATTTCAACTTTATATAATCAAAATTTTTCATTTGAATCTCTGTTTGGTCATGATTCTTCCCCTATTTATAGAACTGATAGGTGCTAGATAGATATTCGATTTTGTACTCATTTTTACCTGTAGTGACATAGTTATAACTATATGGTATGATAGCATGGTAGTGTCATTCAGTTTAATAAATAAGTTATAAGTATTTGCAAAGTATAGAAAAACTTTTAATTGGCATTATGGTATTTAGGAAAGCTAATGGTTGGTGGTAAAGATGCAGATAGCATATTTGAAAATTGTCCAAAGTATATGTAGCAGCTGAAATTCAAAAGAAAAAAAATTGCCATAAATTTTTCTTTCAGAGATTCTGAGGTCTGTCTTTTAAGTGGTAGCAATATAGTAATTTGAAGTAAATAGTCTTCGTTAGGTTTTGACAAAATACCAGGTGTTCTGTTTGCTTCCTTTTAAAAAGTGAAATATAGGTTACATTTGTTTCTGATGCTTGAGTTTATGCAAACTCTCCAGCAGCAAATTTGATGGTTTTATTTTTCTTCTAAAAATAACACTTCAATTAGTGATAAGCTTATGGTGCTAATGGAAAAAGTGTTTTGGGTGGGGGGGGGTGTTAAGGGATATCATTTATAAATGCAAATGTCAGACTAATGTCTGACACATTTTTAAAAGTTGTGTTGCTTGGCTTCATTTGATGACACAAACCTGATCAGTTGCTACCTCACAGACTTCTTATTTTCAAGGTATAAAAATGTGTAGTAGAGCTTCAGACTAATTTGTCCTTTTTTAACACTGCCACATTCCAAGTCAAACACGAGGCAAAGAGGAAAAGTGATATTATTTACAGATGCCTAATCGTTTATTAAAGTTGTTTTTAGATTTCATTTTCCATTGCAAATAATGAGATTGTAATAGTTGCTTCTAGATAATCTACCAAATAATTGTCATTAGAACAGTGTTATCAACTTCTTTTTCTCTTTTAGGATGTTGTCAATCTACATGGATACATTAAATATCTTTATGCGAGTAGCCACCATGCTAGCAACTGGGAGCAACAGGAAGAAGTGAACTGATTGCATTTTGAACCATCCAAACCTCATTAGATACTCTTGCTTGTGTTCTTGGTGTGTATACTTGTTAAATCATTTCTTGTACAAGCAGCTTTGGTTGAAGTCAGAAGTTCAGAGCCACCTCAGCATGGTTAAGATATTCTAATACAGTGTGATGCTTCAAGTTCTACCTTTCTTGAGAATAAATTCACCATTCTCTTGCAAATAAGCATATAAAATTTCCAGTTTTCATCTTTGAGTAATTGCTAACGGAAAAAAATCAAACTTTTCAGTAGTATCACTTTATTTCAACATTCTGTTTGTCCATATTTTTTACTTGTTTCATAATATTATTTAACAAAGACTCTTATTGCCATCCAAAAATGAGTCAAGTGTGTACAAGAGAGAGCCCCAGGATTGCTGTAAAGGACCTATCTCTAGTTTTAGATTCAGCCGTAAGAATGTTAAGTGATCGCCACTTGCTAACTGGCAATGGTTAGGGTTTATCAGGTCTAGTTATTGATGTATAGCTGCCTTTAACATGATTAGCACCCAACTGATATTTTCAGGTGAAACATCTATCCCAAAAAGACAGCCAAGTGTCATTGTGACAGTACCTTTGGAATATCAATATGATACTTGTATTTTAAGTGTAGGGAAGGTGCTTTGGCAATCCATCCAATCTCAAAATGTTAACCTCCCCCAAGTATTCCATCCAGTCTCAAAATGTTAACCTCCCCCAAGTATTCCTATCATAGTTTATATTTGTAAGTTCTGTTTTTTTATCTTCTAGAACTATTTATTTTGAGACATATTTTGCTTTAAACTTAAAGCTTCAAAAGTATCAAATAGGTTGCCTATTCCAACCTTGCTACAGGAAATACATTGACACACAGAGATGTTGCTTTTTCAACATAGGTCAAAGATTGTGGCTTATCTGTCTTTTGTTTTTTAAAAAGATCCTGTTTGATGTTTAGGATGTGGCGTCATTTCACTTTCCAGCACTATCAAAGATCAATGTTACTGCATCCTTCCCCCACTAATGCTAAAATTAGAGGCCAAATTAATTCTGTCTTCATAAAATATTGTTTTTATTAATGTTAATTTTTCCACAGATTTTCCCCCTCAGTCCATTATTAATTTAGAAACAACTTTGTTTTAAGTAAAGCTTGGAAATTTATGACACAGAATAAGTTATTTTTGGAAGTTTTTTAATGAATGAAATTGAGTATGTAAAATTATTGCAATGATATAATTACTATTTCTGGCAAGATGTGTTTTATCACCAGCTATCCAGAAATAGCTGATCTATCCATTGGAGAGATAATGATGTGCTTATTTCCGAAATAATAAAGATCTAGCCTGATAGTTGATTGGTCTGTAATTTCTCCAGTGGAACTACACATACACTGAAGTAAATTGTTTGGGGCTCTTTTTAAAAAAAAACTTAGAAATGATGCTACCAGTTTTATACCATGGAAATTTTAAGTAATTTTAGATTTACAGGAGAGGAAAACTTTTGAGAGTCCTTACTTCAGCCATGTCCTTACATCTAAATAGTAGTAGTTACTGCCTGCCTTAATGCACAGGAGGTAATTTTCAGTTTTTCTAGGATGTAGTTTTTCCTATAGATGAGAAGTAAAAATCCCTAAAAAGTGACATTTCTAGAAAAATGAGGTGGATCTTCCAATATAAATGTGCTCTGCATAGTGGTAGGGCTATTTCCTGGATACAAAGTCTTTCAATACAGCTTATAGGCAGCATTAGCTCCCTTGACTTCTTATCACATTGCCGATTCATTAAACTCTACTTGCTGAGCTATACTCAGTCTTGTATTTAACAAAGTTGTTCCTTTTTTAGGCTGTTATAGAACTTTACATTACATGCATCCCTATTAAATTTCAGGTTGTTGGATTCCCTTTCCTCTGTCAAGAGGTTGGTGGGTGGAAGAAAAACATAGACCAAAGGAAGACCATTGCATACTTGGAACAAAGAAGAAGGAACTAATTAAAACCCCCAGATAATAGCTAGCATTTATATAGCACTTTGAGGTGTGCAAAGTGCTTTAAAATCTTGTTTGATCCTCCCAGTAACCCTGTTGTCCCCATTTTACAGTTGAGGAAATAGATCTGAGGTTAGATGACTTGCCTAGGGTCAAATAGCCAGTAAGTGTCCAAGGCAGGATTAACTGGGGTCTTCTTGACTTCAAGTCAAGAGCTCTATATGTGGCTGTGCCTGTCTTTTCCGAATGAACTGCTGTCCAAATATGCCTCTCCATCTTTATGCAGCTGATTTTTTGAATCTTGGTGTAAGATTTTTTTCCTATTCAATTCCATTCTATCACATTTGATTTGGCCCAAAACTCACCTAGCAACATCTTTTTCAATATTAACAGTTTTCATCCGGTGTGCTTAATATCTCTCTTGGTACTTTTTTGCTATCTGTTAGTTTCATACATAGGCCGTCCTATGCCTTTATCCAAGTCAGTGGCTGAAGATTAAACAGCCCAGGGCCTAGCAGAGATCCCTGAGCCACTCCACTGAAGACTTCTTTCCCAAGTGACATCGAGGCAGCAAGGACTATTCTTTGTGTCTGGTGCCTATGTACTTTGCACAGAGTAGGTATTTAATCAATATATATTGGTTAAATGAATGAATGATTCTCCCTACTCTTGTAAACTGAGATTTGTTACTGCCAGAGTGACAGGGCAGCTGCCCTTCTGAGGGGGTAATTTCTTTTTTAGTAAGTTTTTATGTCTTTTGTTTCTTTTATCATCAGTTTTCCCCGGTATCCCTCTAGTTCCATCTCCCTAAGAGCCTTTCCATGTGACGAATAGTATTTTTAAAGACAAAAAGAAAAGAGAGGGAAAAAATCAGCACAACTAATTGATGCATTGAAAAAGGTCCAAAAACATGTGCAATGTGTTACCGGTGGAACTCCCACTTCCAAGTTACGCTCAATCTTTATAATTTTGCTGCATTTTTTTTGGTGTGTGATACTTTGCATTTACTTTGGTGTAGTTATTATATATGATGTTTTCTCGGCTGTGCTTCACTCTGCATCAGTTCATGTAGATCTGTCCATGCTTTTCTGTATCACACACATAATTTCTTACAGCCCAGTAATATTTTGCTATATTCATATACCACATTTTGTTTAGCCATTCCCCAGTCAATGGGCATCAACTTGTTTTCAATTCTTTGCTATCACAAGCAGCCCTGCCATAAATATTTTAGTATATATGGAGATTCTTCTTATCAATGGTTTCCTTATGGTATAGGCCTAGTGAAAGATTCTCCAGATCAAAAAGTTTAGAGATGTTAGTCACTTTGGTTGCATAATTCCAAATTGTTTTCCAAAGTAGTGATATCTTTTTACATGTAATTGGGAGGGAAAATATTTAAAAAAAAAAACAAAATAAAAAGGTGGTCATTTCATAACTCCATTAATAGTGTATTAATTAGTATGCCTAATCTCTAATCATACCACAGTCCCGATTTTTGCCATTTTTTGTCATCTTTGCCAATATGTAGTAACAATAATAATAATAATAATAATAATGATAGGTAACATATAGTGCTTACTGTGTGCCAGCCTCTGTGCTAAGTGTTTTACAATTATTCATTTAATCCTCACAACAACCTGGGAAGATAGGTGCTGTTATTGTCATCCCTATTTTACAGATTGGAAAACTTAGGCAAACAGGTTAAGTGACTTGCCCAGGGTCTCTCAGATTGTGAGGCTAGATTTGAACCTGCCTTCCTGATTCTAGGCCCAGAATTATTCACTATGCCATCTAGCTATACCTTGTGTAGAGGATGAGGTAAAACCTCATAATTGTTTTGATTAGCATTTCTCTTATTAGTGATGTGGAGCATTCTTTCATGTGGTTGCAAATACTTTGCAATTCTTTTGAGAACTGTTCATATCTTTTGATCACTTATCAGGAAATGCCTGTAGTTATATATGTATGTAGGTAGGTATGTATGTATATGTATATATTTATATATAATAAAGAATTGGAAACCATGTAGATACTCATCAATTGAGGAATGACTTAAACAAATTGTGGTACATGAATGGAATAGAATATGACTTGCTGTTAAAAGAAAAAAATGATGTGTGTAATGAATACAGAGAAGCATGGAAAGATCTGTATGAACTCATACAGAGTGAAGTAAACACAACCAAGAAAACAACATAATACCGCAGTAACTGCAGAAATTTAGATGGGAAGAACTACACACCGAAAAAATCAATAGTGACTCAAAATTACCAAAGATCCAGGAGGACTTGAGGGAAGAGATACAAAGAGGACACCCCCAATCCAGCCCTTTGTGAAGGTGGGAGGTCCATTGGTGTTATACACCAGATAGGTTTTAGGACTTTTTCAATGTATTGACCAGTTAAGCTGATTTATTTTGGATAATTATGATATGTAAGAAATAAGTCATCAATAAAAACTTATTTTGAGAAATCATTTCAATATCTTGGTTGCCAAACTCTCAAAGAAATTTGATACAAAATTTTTTTTTCCCTATTTGACCATTCCTCTTCTTATCCTAGATGCATTATTGTTGTCTGCAGAAGTGTAACAGTTTATCTTTTGTAATTGACTATTCCTTGTTTGGTTAAGAATGCATAGGGGCAGCTAGGTGGCGCAGTGGGTAGAGCACTGGCCCTGGATTCAGGAGGACCTGAGTTCAAATCCAGCCTCAGACACACATAACACTTACTAGCTGTGTGACCCTGGGCAAGTCACTTTATCCTAGCCAAAAAAAAAAAAAACCCATAGCAGTGAGAGGTGTATGATGTGCTTTGAAGTATAATTTCAAAGCACTGCAATGTATCTCCTCTCTCCCAACTTCTAGTGCCCTCCCTAGTTTATATTTTAACTATCTAGTATTTGTTTTGAATTCATTATGTATATATTTATTCTGCATATGTATTTTTATTTGTTTACATGTTGTCTCCCTTGATAGAGTGTAAACTCCTTCAGTGTAGAGACTGTTTGACTTTTTGGATTCCCAGAATCCAACACAGTGCTTGGCTTAACATGCTTGTTGATTGATTACTTATACCTTTCTCCCAGACTTATAAATGAATTCTTTAAACAAGATAATGAGCATTTTATTCCATGCTGAGAGACTGAACATAAAGTTCAAGCATTCCTAGCAAATAGTACACAGAGGTACAAATTTATAATAAGGTGTAAATGACTGATATCTTGAGCACAGATTTAAATAAGTAAAATTCAGGAAAGACAGGAGGAGCACATAAAAAAGTGGGTGAGTGGAAAAGAAGAAGAAACTTGGGTTGCATTGATTTTGTAATTTTGTCCAAATGCAGAATTTGGGGGGGGGGGGGGGGGAAGTCATCTCCCCTGCTTGGACCTTTGTCACATATAAAATGAAGGGGTTGTACAGAATAATCTTCAAGAGCCCCATGCAGTTCTGTCACCTGTATTGACACAGAAGCAGAGACAAATGAAAAAAAGAAAGTAGGTTTCAGACAGGTTTTTGTGCCTTCTAAGTGTGATAACAGATCTGCCTGAACAAAGGTGTTAACTTCCCTCTTCTGCTCACCACCCACTCCTTGTTGCTGGTGAAAAAAGGAAGGGGGAGTGATATGAAAGGTCTTTCTGAGGCCTCTTCAGCTCTAGTTATGCTTTGTTACCTTTCCCAAGGATGTAGTGCTCCTTACTGATAATTAAAGCAAGACTCATCATAGGCATAGTCACAGAATTTTTAATAGACCTTAGATGGGGTCTCCTTATTAACTGAGGACAGAAAGTTAGAAAAAAAGGCAGTTTTGAATCCTTAGTGCAGTGGTCTGCTCACCAAACCTTTGCATCTACATGACATCCAGTGCTTTAATTATTTTAATATCACCTATGCTTTCTTATTCGAATTTCTTAAAAACCAGTATTTGGGTGCAATTGGGCAGGACCTCACTTCCTGCTATTTGTCAAGTCAGCAAGCATTTATTAAGCTCCTACTGTGTGCCAGGCACTATGCTAAGCATTGGGAATACAAAGAAAGGCAAAAATAGCCCTTACCTTCAGGGAGTTCACAGTCTAATGGGGGAGACAGTATGCAAACTACCATGTACAAACAAAACAAACAGGATAAACTGGGTCTAAGTACAGAAGGAAAGCAGTCTTGTCTTGCAACCTGGGTTAGTCTTACTCTGCCTCTAGAAGCTCAGGATGGCATTTGATGCCCCTGTGGAGACACAGAAGATGAGTTAGGAACAGGGGTTAAGGTGAATGTGTGCATTCTTTCCCTCTAATGAGTCACTGGCATTTGTAAAATCCACTTGGCAGTTAACAATATGCTTTTTTACAACATTTCTCATATTATGCCCTA